TCATGCAAAGCTAAAGCATTTCCATGCCTGGTGATTCTGAGGAACAAGTATGCTACTATCAAAGTGAGGGAGGTGAAGATTGGTGACAGAAGTAGCAGTTGGTACACTGAAACCAATTATTCCTGGGCTTGTATTTATAGATACTTTCCATTTAACAGAAATAGAAAGCTATTCAAGTGTTGTTAGGAAAGACTATTTTATATTCAAAAAGATTAATTTGGCCTTTACTTATATTTAAAAAGATTAATTTGTGATTTGTTCCACATAGTACATCTTTTGTAATCATTCAGGCAAGAGAGGACAGTGGTCTGAGCAAGCTAATGTGGAGTTTAGAAGTGTGGACTTCTGAGCTAGATTGCTGACAGTCAAATGCCAACTCTGTTGATCATTACTTGAATAATCTGCTTGATCTTTCTGTACCTGAGTCCTAGAAAGGGCAGAAGAGGGTGGAATGGAAAGGATGAGGAACATGTAAAAAGCTTTAGATACGGTATATTTGAAATGACAGCAGGGCAACTCAAGTGGAAATGTAAATTACAGTCTGGAGCTCAATGGGTGGTCTAGAATGAAACTAGTCAGAATAGGTATTAAATTTGAAGCTATGAGATTATATAACTGAGCTAGAGGAACTCATTTAGAGAGGAGTATCCAGTAAGGTATCCAAGATGGACTAGTGAAGGAGAAAACCACATGATAGATCCTGGAGACCAATGGGCTAGGATGTATTCCACAAAGGTGGAGTGATCAACTGTGTGAAATGCTACGGGCGGTGATAGGTGATCAGGTACAACCACTGAGAAGTGACCATTTTGAATCAGCAATGAGGTGGTTCTGACCTTGCCAGGAGCAGTTATGGTAAATAGCAGGAAACAAGGCTGAATGAAAAGGTTTCAGAGAGAAAATGGGAGGGGGTAAATGTGGTGGCAAGTGAGACAATTTACTGGAGGGGAAGAAGAGATCCCCTCCAATGAGCGACAAATGCCACTTTTATTTGATGGTTAGTGTTGATTCAATCTGAGGCAGTAGGTTTATGGTTTGGCTCATCTGGGTTAACTGAAAGGACTTTATGGCTCTAGTCTAGTGAATACTCAGTTACTGAACTCAAGATCTCTCTGGGTTGTTTGTTGGAAGGATTCACAGTATTCTCTATCAGGTGTGTGAGGGGTCAGCATCTTCACTCTGCTGGAATAGTGTTCTTGAGGTCATAGAACTTGAATCTTTACAAGCAGACCCAAACTATAATTTTGCTGGGCAAATTTTCAATTGTTTATATTATTTCAGCATTCAAGTTATCTGGCTGACACCTCTAAGCAGTTACACCTCAAATGTTCTCTTAGTCTCCATTAATCATTATGATAGCTGTAATATTACACTGTATTCATTGCATTGATGTAATGTTACATTCTGATAAGTGGGATAACAAGAGTGTAAGAACCAATACATATAAATACCAGGGAGTGTTCTGTTTGATATCTATATTAAGATTAACATAAAAGTGTGTTAGGGCTTTCATTAACAAAATACCACAGACTGGGTAGCTTAAACAATAGGGCTTTCCTTACAGTGTTGGAGGCTAGAAGTCTAAGATCAAGATATTAGATGGTTTTATCTGAGGCCTCTCTCCTTGGCTTGCAGATGGTCACTTTCTTGCTGTGTCCTCACACGGCCTTTTCTCTGTGCACATACATCCCTGTTTTTGTCATGTGTCCAATTTTTTTTTTTTTTTAAGGACACCAGTCAGATTTGATTGGGTCCCACACTAATAACTTCCTTTTTTAATTAAAGATTATTTATTTATTTGACAGAGACACAGCAAGAGAGGGAACACAAGCAGGGGGAGTGGGAGAGGGAGAAGCAGGCTTCCCGCCGAGCAGGGAGCCTGATGCGGGGCTCGATCCCAGGACCCTGGGGCCATGACCTGAGCCGAAGGCAGACGCTTAAAGACTGAGCCACCCAGGCTCCCCTAATAACTAACTAACTTCCTTTTAAATTTATCACTTCTTTAAAGGCCCCATCTTCAAATATTCCACATTTTGGGGTAGTGGGGATTAGGGCTTCAACATATGGGGTTTGGGAAAACACAGTTTAGCCCACAACCTGTGGTAATGTGTTGTATTAGTGCATATTTTTAAAACAATGGAAAAAAAACAACTGATAAGAGACAATTTGAAAATGAGTAAGAAGTCTCAAGACTTGAATCAAAGGAGAGCTAGAAAAACTAATACATTAATAAGTAACATTTATTAAAACTCTGAGATATGTGTGTGTATATATGTATATATACACAAACACATAAATATATATATAAAATTAGTTATCACAAAACGCCTACAAGATAGGTATTATTTCCACTTCTTAGATGAGGACACTTAGATTCTGAACATGAATCCCATAATTCATAAAAGGTCTTAAACCTATAGAGCTATCCAAATTATTGTTTACATTCAACATACGGTAGCTACGGCAGAGAAGATAGGAACGTACAATATAACTTAGAACATTTGCACTAAAAAATTGTTCAAAATAACAGCTATAAAACAGATTAATTTTAGTTATCTAATATTCATTTCTGTGATTTGCATTTCCAGATGATTAAACATGATTGTACACATGACAGAAAATTGTTCACATTATAAATGTAATTCTATCTTTTGTTGAGCGAATGATAATTATGAAAGTCTTGGTGCAAATTTTGATAAGACGGTAAAAGTTTTCATCATCTTTTCCCCACAGTGATTTTCAAAAGTTTGAGAAAACATGAAAATATGTGAATGCTAGTCTCCTCAAATAAATTTGATGCATTTTCAAAAATATTTCCTTTTGCAATAAAGTTTGTGTATTTCAGAATTATAAATTGTCATCTGAACAATGCAAATTGGCAGCTATTAGTTATGTACACAAGTCATATTTTGCTTCAATTACTTTTGCTTAGTTTTGAATTTTCAGTGCCACTTTCATAAATCATCAGGTAATAATTTGTTTAGAAGTCACATATTTAAAAGCCATGTCTAGTAATTAACTTTAGGGCTATAGAAATGAAAGACTACCATCAGTATGTTTGTGTCCTATCTGTGTATATTCATCATTTAAAGTAGAACAATATTCACACTGACATGTTTGGGAAAAAAATGACATAGCTTGTTTGAAGTATATATTCAAATATTTAAAAAGGAAAAAAGGAAAGAAGATTGAATTTATTTCAAAATAACCTTTAACTTCTGAAAATAATAATCACATTCAAATGGACTTGTAAAACAGTTTTAATTTTTATTCAAAATATGAGATGTCATCATTAGCCCTTATCTTACTCTTGAAAAATGGAGACAATTATACAGGAAAGGAACGGAAACAGGGCTATTAGATTCTAAGCTCCAGTTTAAAAAACAGATAAGGCAGGTAAAAAAAAAACTCCAGATAATTTCCCAGTGTCAAACATAGTCATATGCCTGCTTATCTCATAAATATTATCATTTATTAGAATAGTTTATTTTAGATTTATTTTCTAAATACCATTTCTTGCTTTAAATGAAGGCTCCCCAGCAGTGCTAATACCTGTTTCATAAACTGACCTGCAGTTTCTTTAAATCCAAATCGATTGGAATTTTTTTTTTTTAAAGAATAAATATCACACACCCATGGTAAAATATTGTATCACCACCAAATATAAGTGAGTAGTATTTTACAATGAAGAAATTCAGAGCATTTAAGAGTATATTACTATACTAATTGGACTGACCAAAGTATGGGCCTTTGTATAACATATTCTGAAGAAGTCACCTGAAAAACAGGGGGAAATAGTGGTTGAAATAAAGCTTAGGTCTGATGAGTTTTGATTAAAATTATATAGCTAATAAAATTCTTAAGAAATCGATGAAAAGTACTGTTCCTAATGTGAACTATAATTAGATGGTGATTTTCCTCCAACAGTCAATACTAACTCAGTAGCTGACCTTGATGTGGAAGAAAAAGAGGGCTTTGTTATTATTTATTAGGCTCAGGGAGGAGACTTTTTTTTCCCCCCCTTAAATAAAGGGATTTGATCAGATGTGAACTGGTAGCTGTCAAAAGTGGCACAAGCTATCAAATGGCCCTATGTTGTAAACCTCCACTTAATTCTGACATTGCAGAGAAGCCTATTACCACCTTACTTAAAATAAGAAATGAAATACCAAGTAAAAAACAACAAGGAAAAAATCAAACAACAATAACAAAACCCTGTGATAGTGAATTTGTGCGAAAACCATAGTAAGGAATAAAATGTATACAGCAACAGTGCATATGCAGGGTACGCTTCTTGTCAGCAGACCCCTCTGCAGAACCGAAGTGTAGTGAGTGTATTCTGTGGCCCTTTCACTAACACCGAAAGTAAGCGTGGCCACTGCCGTTATTCGTGGTTGTTGGCTGAACGTCTGTCATCTTGGGAAACAGTCACTAGACTTTTTTCTTAAGCAGTTTCTCATTAAGATTCATTCTGGTTCACTGTGGATCAGAACTTAACTGACCTCCTTGCCTCTTTTCTAAAACTCCCATGTTTGATAGGCAGCCACTAAAATAAACCCATCCCCTTTTCAACTTCCCTTTCTTTTCCGTAAGGTGGACCCTACGTAAACCTAAAAACATATATGGTAACCTAATATACAAGGTTTCTCAAAGTGCAAAATGTGTTACACACAGTTTCATAGGCTTCATTTAAACAAAGCATTTTATACAATACAGTACAGTTTGAGATTTCTGCTCATAAATTACACCATTCAACAGACAACTACTGTAAAAAGCTTGGCTGACTCAAAGTAAGCCAATGCTTCTACGGTTGAACTGTACAAGCTTTGTTCAGACCTAAAAAAGCATCACCTTCTACTTATCACATATGTACATATATATTTTAAAATACTATTTAAATGCTTATGTAGAGTGAGACAAATCTCACAAAGCACGAATTCTACTGTTTGGCTTCTGGTTTGCACACAGTATACAATATTTAAAAAAGATAATGTGCAGCACTATTTTATCTCTTTCTGCAAGATCTGCTCATCCTCTAAGTCTTTTGGAAGGGTTCTCGTCCGCTGCAGCACCACACTAAGCTCTTCAATTACCCTTGATGGTAACTTACTATCAGAGTCCAAAGCAGCTTTGCCATTCCTGTCCTCAGTCTTCCTCAATGTCTTGAGGCCTTTATGGCTTTTTTGTTGCCCGTGAAGGACGTCAGCCTCTGGGTCCTCCAGACAGTTGAAGCTCCGATGCTTTCTGGTTCGAGTTCGAAGTTTCTCACCCTTGTGTTCCAGGCAGTGGGCCACCATGGAGGCTCTCTCCTTTAAGCTGCCATCCCCCAACTCTTGATCCCGCTTTTCACTGAGCCGCAACCTTTCCAGTTCTGCTCTGGCACTCTGAAAAGAAAATGCAACATCCCACAGGAAAGCAAGATTTAGGACAAGGTAAGTTTAAAAGACACATGCCGCGTTAAATGTTGAGGCTCCTTATGTTCATGCTTATTTCCACAACTGAGGTTCTAACTTTACTTTGATAGAACTGGCATGTCTGAATTTACTAACCAAGAGATCAATACAGGCATCTTAGACCTACAAGATCAACAAAGGTAGATCATGGAAATTCATTTTAACATGCGTTTAACATACAGCTTCAAAGAAGTCTCTCAGGTTATTCAAACATGCCTTTTTCAATTCATTTCTGCTTGAATGCATCATATGTTCATGTATCTGTAATTCCTACAGTGTCCTGTCCGTGGCCACGTCCGTGGCCATTTGGGGACATGCTCTATACTTGTACTTACAGCCCCTCCTTTGAGACTTACAGTACCTAGTAGTATATTAAAAATGTTGAGAAGTTTTATGGCAAAAAGATCTGTTTAACTTGTTTTTTTCTTCCTCCAACACAATGCCTATTAGAATCCCACAGATACATTCCTGGAAACACCGAAATATATAGTTATGTATTAAACCCACTTTTGTATCTGAGGATTAGAGTATACATTAATTCAGTGAGCTATAGAGGTGCACTTTCCTAACTAGTGTTCAGAACATCTTGTGACTGGGCAATTTCTGGCATATAGAACTTCCATCATATTATCAAAGGGTATGAAAATTTAATCAAGTGTAAGATACAAGAACAAACAGAGAATCAAAAGCATAGAGCAGTACGGAGCCACATAGAAAGGATACCCAATAAATTGGATCACGATGTAGGTGAAGTGGAAAGAGAAAAGTTATTCTTTTCACAAGAAGCAACAATTGAAGAAACGTCTTCAAAATTTCCCCAGTAAAAACTGCAAAGCCTAGAAAGCAAAAATCTGAAGGAGCACTGAAGTTATGAATATTGAAAGAAAATGTAATGAAAATGGTTATAACATTAAGTATGAAATTGTGAGTAGCATAAACAGTAAAGATCTTCAATACAATAATGTTTAAAAGACAACATCCCACCTTTCTCTATGGCAGTTATCTAATGTGATTATCTGAATGCCCCGCTAGAAAGACTCAGTGCAAGCAGGGTTTTTGTTTGATATGTTCCCTGAAGCATGAACCTAGTACAGTGCCTGCACTTAGAAAGTGATCATTAACTTATTAAATAGTGAATTAAAGGTCGGTTTAAAATTTTTCAAATGTATAACATGTTCTATTTTCCTAAATTCCATCAAATCCAGATTTGGAATTGAAACATACAAATTCAGGCTGAATACAAATATTTTCACAAATGGATTTTATACATTTTGTAACTTGGAATTTTCCGATAAAATTATGATTATATATCTCAGGTAAATACATTTCTTCTACTCTAGAAACTGATGAAATGTTTAGTATCTAACTTAATTCCAAAGTCTCATTTGAATATCTTAAAATATTGAGAAATTGGTGATGCTTGCATAACGTGAATGTATATACAAGCCCAATAATTACACTTAAATATGGTTAAAATGAACAGTTTTTATATTTTTACATATATTTACTACAACAAAATAACCCCTCCCCTGCAAAGAATGATGGCTAACCAGTATAGGGCTGTGATTGGGAGTTTATAAATATTAAACATGTTAAGTTTCATTCGGCATCTCTTACCTGAGGAAAATTAAGGAGCAATATAAATTTTTTTTTTAAATTGAAGTATAGTTGACACACAGTATTGGTTTCATGCGTACAACATAGTGATTTGACAAGTCTATGTTATGCTATGCTAAACACAAGTGTAGCTACCAACCGTCATCCGAAAGTGCTATTATAATATCATCTGACTATATTCCCCATGCTGTGCCTTTTATTCCCATGACCTATTCATTCCATAACTGGAAACCTGTGCACCTCCCACTCCCCTTCACCCACTTTGCCCATTCCCAACCCTCCTCCCTTCTGGCAACCATCCGTTTGTTCTCTGTATTTATGGATCTGTTTCTGTGTTTTGTTTTTTAGATTCTACATGTAAGTAAAATCACATCGTATTTGTCTTTCTCTGACTTGTTTCATTTAGCGCAGTATCTTTTAGGCCCATCCATGTTGTTGCAAATGGCAAGATTTCATTCTTTTTCTTATGGCTGAAAAATATTTCATTCAATACATCTACACCTCTTCTTCATCCACTTGACTATTGATGGACACTCGGGCTGCTTCCATATAATGCTACAATAAACACAGGGGTGCATATATCTTTTTGAATTAATGTTTTCATTTTCTTTGGGTAAATACACAGTAGTGGAATTACTCGATAGTATGGTATTTCTATTTTTAATTTTTTGAGGAAACTTCATACTGTTTTCCATAGCGGCTACACAAACTTACATTCCCACCAACAGGGGAATGTGAATGAGGGATTTTCTTCTCCACAGCCTCACTGACACTTGCTATTTCCTGTCTGTTGGATACCAGCTATTCTGACTGGTGTAAAGTGCTATCTCATTGAAGGTTTGTTTTTGTTTTTTTTTTTTTCCATCAGGGTTTTGATTGGCATGTCCCTGATGATGAGTGATGTTGAGCATCTTCTCATGTGCCTGTTAGCCATCTGTATTTCTTTGGAAAAATGTCTATTCAGGTCCTCTGCCCATTTTAATTGGATTATTTGTTACTGTGGCATTGAGTTGTAAAAGTTCTTTATCTATTTTGGATATTAACCCCTTATCGGGGATATCATTTACAAATATGTTCTCCCATTTGGCAGGCTGTCTTTTCTTGGTTTCCTTTACTGTACAAAAGCTTTTTATTTTGGTATAGTCCTAACAATTTATTTTTGCTTTTGTTTCCCTTGCTCAAAGAGATGTACCACAAATGTTGCTGAGGCCAACATTGCCTATGTTTTATTCTAGGAGCTTTATGGCTCAGGTCTCACATCTAAAGTCTGTAATTCATTTTGAATTTATTTTTGTGTATGGCGTAAGAAAGTGGTCCCATTTCATTCTTTTACATGTAGCTGTCCAGCTTTCCCAACACCATTTATTGAAGAGACTGTCTTCTTGCCATTGGATGGTCTTTTCTGCTTTGTCAAAGATTAGTTGACCATGTAGCTGTGGATCCATTTCTGGGTTTTCTATTCTGTTCCATTGATCTATGCCTATTTTTGTGCCAGTACCAAACTGTTTTGATATTATACATTTGTAGTGTATCTTGAAATCTAGGATTGTGATACCTTCAGCTTTGTTCTTCTTTCTCAAGATTGCTTTGGCTGTTCAGGGTTTTTTTGTGGTTCCCTACAAATTTTAGAATTATTCTAGTTCTGTGAAAAATGTTATTGGTATCCTGACAGGGATTGCATTAATCTGTAGATTGCTTTGGGTAGTGTGGACATTTTAATAATACTGGTTCTTCCAATCCATGAGCACAGAAAATCTTTCCATTTGTGCCATCTTCAATTTGTTTCATCTTTTTGGTTAGGTGATTATTCCTAGGTATTATTTTTTGTGCAACTGTAAATGGGATTGTTCTCTTTCTGCTATTCCATTAGTGTACAGAAACTCAGCATTTTAATAATCTTCTAATCCATGAGCATGGAATGTCTTTCCATTTGTGTCATCTTCAATTTCTTTCATCAGTGTTTTATAGTTTTTGGAGTACAGGTCATTCACTTCCTTAAGTTTTTTTCCCAGGTTATTTTATTCTTGCAATTGCAAATGGAACTGTTTTCTTAATTTCTTTCTGTTGCTTTGTTATTAGTATATAGAAGCAGAACAGATTTCTGTATATTAGTTTTGTATCTTGTAACTTTACTGAATTCATTTATCATTTCTAATGGTTTTTTAGTGGTGTCTTAGGGTCTATAGTGATTTTACACATCATAGTAACAGTTCTCATTATCTTTCAACCATCAGCAGGTAGATGTTGGGGTTTTCTTAGATGTAGTATTCATGCAGGTAATGCTGAAATTTCAAGTACACTTTAGTATTAGCCTAAGAGATGTAATCTTATATGAAGATGGAGAGAGGTGAGGGAAGTGACCTGTTAAGAGTCGAGAGGATTAGGGGAGGGGAGGCCTGGGTGGCTCAGTCAGTCAAGCATCTGACTCTTGATTCCAGCTCAGGTCATGATTCCAGGATCCTGAGGTCGAGTCCCAGGTTGAGCTCTGTGCTGATGATTCTCTCCCTCTGACTTTCCCCCTACTCAACACTCTCTCTCAAATAAATAAAATGTTTTTTAAAAAGAGTTGAGAGGATGGGACAGTGCGGCTTCGAGTGAACAATATGATGTGCTGGGAGCACCCTTCGTGTTGTGGAGAAAGGAGGACATAGTTTATGTGCTACATTGTCCTTAAAAGATAAGACATTAATAATTTAAAAAGGATAGATAAGTTATGAAATTAGAGGAGCAAGAGCGAATGTGTCAGAGTATGTTTAGAGAAAAGTAGTTGTTTGAATGGAAAGGTCAGTGTGAAAAGCAGTCCTTCTCCCTGCACAGAGTAGTTTCTATGTCACAGGAATGTGTTCTCAGAGGAAATCCCTTACGTGGCTTTAGTCTGTACCCACATCTATTTTCCATTATATCCAGATGTAGGCCACTAGTTATGGAGGTCTCAAAAATACCAAAACGTACAATGATCAATATGTTGATTACAGCAGAAATGCTCTTAAATAACTTTCACTACTAAACTCACTGTATTAGTTGATAATCTCCATGCTATAAAATATATAATCCTATCACTAATCCTCACAATACTGCTTTAGAGACATTATTTAGAGTAAATAAACATTATGATTAAACTATAAAGTAAATTATAATTTAAGACACAGAAACAGAACTGCCCATTCACCCAAGGTCACAGAAGTGGGAATTTGGAATGGGATGCCATGGTGCCCTGTTTGGAACCAATGTGCCTCTTTATGTGCTCCAGGATGGGGACGGAGGAGAGAAGCATGCAATGATTCTAGGTCACCATTTTCTGCTGGAACTGCATCATTCTTCTTTGCTCATTGTTTTTGTTTTACAGATGACAAAAAATATGACAATTTTGGAAATGAGTAAATTATCCCATATTGTCTTCCAAGTTCCTTATTATTTTGACTCGAATGTTAACTGTGTACTAGGTGTTATTCTAATAAATTCTAAAATATGATATCATTGAATCATAATAGCCTTATAAGGTAGAGCCTTTTTTTTTTATCCCTCCATGCTTACAGATAAAAAGGCTGAGCACAATGTAGTTAGGAGGTACCCAAATCACAGGTGGGACCTAGCACGTACATTCTTAAGTACTATATTTGCCTCTTCGTGTGTGATTTCCTTTGACAACAACTTACTTTCCCTGGCTTATTCAGCTAGCTCACTACTCAATTTTAGAAGTTGCTTTTTCCAGGAAGACTTCCTGCCTGAATGAGGTATCCTCACACAGATTTTAATAGAACCTCATGAAATCAAGACTTGAAATGGTAAGTTACCAAATGGCTGAAGCATCAGATTTTCTTATGAGTATATTGTACTTAATAGATCTTTAAAAAAATATATTGCTTATTTATTTACTTATTTAGAAAAGTGCAGGGGGGCGGAGAGAAACCCAAGCAGACTCCTCACTGAGCATGGCTCCTGACATGGGGCTCGATCTCACAACCCCGAGATCATGACTTGAGCTGAAACCGAGTCGGATGCTTAACCGACTGCACCACCCAGGTGCCCCCCTACTTAGCAATATTTTAAACCATTTTCCCTTTTTAAAACAAAGGATCAAAAATGATTATTCATTTTATAAACATATTTTCTTAAATATTTACATGAATCTAATTCTATAACAAACATTTAAATGGTTCATATGAAATTTTTAATTTCAATTTTGTTTTAATGCTTTTTAAACTTCCAATGTTTTTCCAACATTGGAACATTTAAAATTTTTCTTTGCCAAATTTGTTGAATCACCACATTTATAAAAAGGTTAATTTAGCTTAACTACTTGTAAATTTTCTAGCAATTAATATTTCATGGAATTATTTTTAAAAGCCTATAACAAGTTCTTTGTTGTTTGGAGTTCATCAGTTTTCTGATCTTAAGCATGCTAAAAGAGAAAAAAAAATTGTCTCTAAAATTCTGGATTTGAGATTAGGTAACAAATTATTACACTATATATTTATAAGTCATCATCCTAATTCTATACTGGATATTGGTTAATGTATTTTGATTTGGTCCTAATAATTTATTTTTTGCTTTGCTCCATAACTGATCCATATCAGAAGAAGCTGGGGTCCCAGTAGGGCACATCTACTCCCTATGTTTGCTTCATTTGTTCAAACTATGTTTCCTAATTTGGGTTCTTACGAAATGTGACCCTTAGAATTTTAAGATTCTAGATTAGCTGAGGAACCCATAATTGTGCAGAATAGTTTTTCTTGATTTAAAAAAAAAAAGTGCAGAAGGACTGAATAGGCAACAAAGGAAATAACCATTATTTTCATGGCTTTTATCTTTTAGTGAAGAGAAATATTACACTGGGGTAAATGTTCAAGGAAAGATCTACATGGAAAAATATTTTTTTAAATCTAATCACTAAATTAAAATACCTTTAGTCTTTTAAAAGAAGTTATTTCTGTTTGGAAAGAAAGAGATTCAAACAGCTCAATCCCAAACCCCAAAGAAATAACACCTTTACATGCTTTTCTTTTTGCTTTCAGGGGCTCAATTAAGGCACTAAAACATGCATTAATCCCAAAGTATCTAATGAGTTTTGAGTGCAGATTTTCTCCTTTCCTGAAGAGATTGAACTTCAAATCAAGATTGATGCTATGTATGTTCTCCCCACCCCGCAAGGTGAGAAGGAAAACAAATAGCCGCTTTTCTGAAAGATGCTAGGTCTTTTTTATTGATGCTCAGGGGTCATCTTGCAGTTCCTTAAATTAACTGCGACACCCCATCAGTTCCCAAACCACTGGAATTTGATTGTGTTACTAGAAAGTCTAGTTACCATGGCTCCAGACATAATCGGCCCTGGGCTCATTTTAAGGGTGTTAAAAGTGAACCTGTAAGACTAATTTGAGACTGATTTACCAGGCGGACTTCTGTATACACATTTAAAATTGCTTGGCTATGTGAGGGATAAGAAAATAAGTGGTATTATGCATATTTAATTGAATGGTCAATGACATTATTAAAACTCTTTAAGAAAAGTTAAAATATAAAACTTAAAGGAGAAGCACAGGGTCATTCATAATGTTTTCTTGCTGGATGTGATTTTTACTATGCTTTCCAAAGATTATTGTTGTGCTTTTGAAGCCAAAGAAGTAATTAATGTAATCACATTAAGACATAAGGAAACAAATGCTATAATTAATATAAAACAAATAAAATCCTAACCTACCTCAGTATTTCTCCAGGATTGGGTTCCACTTCTCTCATGCTGGATGGGAATTAGAGGCAAACCTCCAATTTTGGGATTTTTGGTTATAGAACGTTTTCGTTCCTTTCCAGCTGGTGGCCATATATCATTTTCATGCTGAGGAAACACAATTTCTTGCTGTTGGTGTGTGATTTTATAATGTGGTATATCATGTTATAGAGTCACCTGGCTCCTTTTCCATACATCCAAATCAAATGATCTGCTTTCCATGAAAAAGCCATTTGTAATTAAGCTGTGGACTCCTGGCAGGAGCATCGCTTGAGGATGTAAAACCCATCGCTTGAGGATGAACAGAGCTTTGTGGTCTCAGTTCAATTTCTAAGTTTCAAATCCATGGCTTCTGTACTACTTATCAAATCAAAAGGAGGAAAATATTTGAGGAAACTGGCAAATCTCTTTGTGGGGAAAAAATAATACACTTGTCCATATTTCTCGGCCCTGTAATCAAAGTAACTATGCATCCATTTTCTCCCTCCACCAAAGGCAACTTTAGCGTAAAAATAATTTAACCTCATAGTCCTCAATTCAACCTAAGGCACAGCTATCAGAAAAATTAGCCCATTTTATGACCTTTTGAAAAATGTTACTCTTCCATCTAATTGAATTCCAAAGAAATTACCTTGCACACAGACATTTATACAGAAATCACTGTACAACAGAGTATGGCACATTTGTTCTCAAATTATTGACTACATATTCTGGCCAACTGAAGAACTATAGATATGACTGGAGAAAAATTAATTTTGCATGGGGAGAAATACCCACAGGTAAAAATATAAGCCCTTGAGTGATAAATCCTTCAGATATGCATATAAAAGAAAAATCTTAAAAATAATTTTTCTACTCCTCAGGGTAGATTAACTTTTCAGAAGTTGGCAAAAGCAAACTGATTTTCAGACAACAATCTATGAAAGAAATATAGAATACCAATTATAAAATGATAAGCTTTACAGAGATGTTCTGATAAAAACTTTTTGGTAAACTATACAGCTAAATGCCTATTCTTATGATTCAACACATTCCTAAGTTGCAACTAGTATTTTAATGTGTTTTATAGCAAAGAGTTCATTTCAATTGACTGTGTACCCATATATAATGGCAAGATTATATGGAGGGATATACTGCCAGACTTGGTGCTTATCAGTTTGCATAATCTCATTAATGTGTATCATAAATTTATACAATCTCACTTAACATATATAACTATAATCTTATTTAATCTTCACTGATCCTACAGTGTAGATCTTTATTACTAGATTGTCTATGCATCAGATCTGCCCTTGGATTTTAGTGAAGCCTTTATTTTGGTTCAGCAAATCTGTAATGGTAAATTATTAAATATTTCAGAGAGAAAGTTCAAGCTTTGTAATGCTATATTTATGTCACAGCCCCAAACTTGGTAAAAATAATTTTGATATTATATAATTGGGATGTTCCCAACACGTAAAGCTCAAAGAAAATTGGCTGGAAAGGAATTCATTAAGCCTATGGATTAGGCTTACACTTTTACTCACTGATGTATAATGCATGTGCTAAATGATAATCAGAGAAATGTAAGAGCAAACACAGTCTCAAATACGTATTTCTTTTTCTGACACAATATACTACGTTGTGTATACTAATTCGTTCTTACCAGACTGATCCAAGAGGTATTTTTCCCAACATGCAAAACACTGTACCTAGTAATACATTCCGACATTTATAGTTATTTGTAAGTGACCCCAAGAGTCATACTGCATGGATCATATAGCTGAGGATCTTACTTTCATTATTATACCCATGATCACACCCCAAAATCTTCAGTTCTATCTCCCACTTTCTATTTTTTCCCATCCATCCAGCTTTGAGGCATAAGTGACAGAATTACAGGATACTGAAAATACACAATGTGATGATTTGATCTATGTATACACTGTGAAAGGATTCTCCTCCATCAAGTCAATTAAGACATCTATCATCTCATTTATTTTGGTGAGAACATTTAACTTCTACTCAACAAATTTCAGTGATACAGTATAGTATTAACTATTTCAACAGTGACCATGTTCTACATGAGATCCTCAAACCTTGTTCATCTTACAGCTGAAAGTGTGTACCCTTTTACCAACCTCTCCCTATTTCCCCATCCAGCAACCACTTTTCCACTCTCTGTTTCTAGGAGTTCAACTCTTATTTTTAGATTCCATATATAAGTGATACTTGCAGTCTTTGTGTGGCTTATTTCACTCAGCATAATGCCAAGTTCATCCATGTTGTCAGAAATGACAAGATTTCTTTCTTATTTAAGGGTGAATAATGTTTAATTGTGTGTGTGTACACACACATTTTCTTTATCCATTCATCCTTGGACTTAGATCATTTGACATGACCTAAGGTAATTTACATACCTTTGCAATTGTGAATAATGCTGCAATGAACATGAGTCTGTCTCGCTCTTTCTGACCTTGAACTCTTACCTTTCCAGCTAACAATTTAGTTTTATTCACTTCTTTAGACTCCTTGAGACCTCCAATCTATTCTCTACCATCATCCTACTTTCCACACTTCCCCCACTTCCTTCATAGCCTGTCATAGATTTCATAGTCATGAGGTATAATCACCTCCTTATAAATACCTTCAAGTCCTGTGCTACTTCTCCTTTCATCATACTTGCCTGGCAAAGCCCCCATCCTAGTTAAACCCAATTCTACTTAGTCTATGGGTGCCTACCAATGGATGAAGAAAAAAGATGGTCACTCTATAGATTCATCTCACTTTAAATTTAACCTTAAAGTTCAGGCAAGCACTCAGCATTAAGTTGAAGTTCTACTATAGTGCAATTGGCTTCCTTACTCTCTGAAGATTATTTCTCACCTTTCCTCCACCCCTACACTTCCAATATCCCTCCCTAACTCATTGAAGGTGAGCTCACTGATTTCATTTTAAAAACTACTAGTAATCACTGAAGAATTTCATTTTCCCACCGTGAAATATACTACTCTCCCTGCATCTTTTAGCCACATAAATGAGGCTCCCTTTTCTTCCCACTATTTACTCTGGTTACAAATAACTTTTCTTCAGTCAAAAGTGCTCAATAGGCTACAATATATAGTCAATAATAATGTGTGACACTCTGGTATACAATGGTTTTTTCAGCAACGATGAACATATGTGCACTTGTTCACACTGCTTCATGTCTGCTCGGGGCTTCTGCTGGTTTAATAATCGCTTTCCTCAAAATAAGATAAAAACAGAGAGGGAGGCAAACCATAAAAGACTCTTAACTACAGAGAACAAACTGAGGGATGATGGAGGGTGAGGGATGGGTAAAACAGGTGATGGGCATTAGGGAAGGCACTTGCGATGAGCCCACTGCGTGTGGAATATGTAAGGTATGAATCACTACATTCTACTCCTGAAACCAGTGCTATACTATACGTTAACTAACTTGAATTTAAATAAAAACTTGCAAGGAAAAAAAAAATCACTTTCCTCTTCTGTCAATTTTTTCTTCCAATTACTGAATTTTCTCCATTAGCATCTGTGCAAAGTGCATACCCTCCCATCTTAAAGACGAATAAACTGAAACCCCAAAACCTACCCTGACCTCGCCTTTCTCTCTAGTCACACAGCTATTTGGAAAGGCATTTTCTGAGAACCTTTCCTAGTTAGTGCCCTTCCTTACCTCAGTCACACCCATTCCTTTCCCTTATTTTATTAAACTAATATCTATTTGAAATTCTGCCAAATTATTTATGTTCTCTCCCCTTTCTTATTTTAGAAATATTGAGAGAGCGCGCGAGCCAGCATACAAGCAGGAGGAGCAGCAGAGGGAAAGGGAGAAGCAGGCTCCCCCCTGAGCAGGGAGCCCAGTGTGGGGCTCGGTGTACTTTGTAAATGGTATTGGGTTCTCCGGGGCAGGTGTCCGTACAGGTCTCACGAGACTGACAGAGCCCTTCTTCTCATGGAGTTTACGTTTTAGTAGGGGAGGCAGAAATGAAAAATCTAATTACACAACGCTTTCTAATTAGAAATACAACTGATGTACAGAATGTTCAGGGTTCCTATAGGCTGAACGTCTGACTAGTCTGAAGATGAGGGAGAATTTCTCTGAGAATGTGACACATAAGTGAAAATCTAGAGGGTTTTTGAATCAGGGTGCAGATGGGGTTGGATATTAGAAAAGTATTCTGCACACCCTAAAGAACTCCTTATAAGGAGCACTTATCGTGTGTGTCTGTGTGTGTGTTAATATATATATATCAACATTTGCTAGTTTCCTATCTGTCTCCCTATGGAATTGAGCCGTTAAATCCTTAAATCCAAGAAGGCCTTTGTGTTTATCTTAATCCAAAGAAGTGGAACGAGCAGAGGAAAAGTAATTGGGCTGAATCTCTAGGGCCAAGACAATGAAGGATAGATGAGGCAGGGGGAAAGAAGTTGGCCATGAGAGCAACCTTTGCTTTCTGGTTATTTCTATTTATACCTTGATTTTCAACCACAGAGTCTAGTGACTTCAATTATAAAAACAAAAAAATCAGAGTAGTTGTACCACAGACACTGTAATAGTTTTGACTCTATGGTTCCAATTTTACTAAAACACTTCAAAACTAGTTTGCTTTCTTTTTAAAATATCTGAATTTCTGAAAAGTCACAAATAAGAGGAAAAGTCTCTAAAAAAAGTTAAGTCTTTTTCTGTCTATGTGTTTTCAGGTAGTAACAGTAGCGCCAGACTGAGAAGAGCAGTGTTTATTAACCACTGGAAAGGTTAATAAATGAACAGAGAAAATGGTTTTCAAAACAAATAAGGGCCAAATTTGGGGGTGAATTAACTTCCCACTTATAAGAGAAACAGGGAAGTACATCCTCAGTAATAAAGAGTGGCAACTTAATCATTACCAGTGTATTTCAATGCTCTTTTGGGAAGCATTGCTGGGAATTCAGCCAGACAAGTTGAGGGGAAAGAAACAATCCTATTAATGAGACTATTTAACCCTTCCCCCAAAGACACAGTCCTCCTATAGGGAGGAGACTAAATGGGGAATTGAGTATAGGTATTAGCTTCTGGCACCCCTGGGTTTAAACCACTAACTAAATGTATGTGCTGAGCTAGTTAGAGAATCTTCATTACCTTTTATTCCCTCATCTACAAGCAACACCATGCATGGTTTGTTACAAAGAATACATGAGTTAACTCTTCTGAAGAATCCAGCACACAGTAAGTATTAAAGGAATATAGGCTCCTGTCCTTGTTTCTGGAAAAGCTAGGGTAGGGGGCAGGGAAGTAGGCAGCCATAGGGAGAAGAAGAAAGAAAACAGCATACTTTTCTAAATGAAGATGAATGTGGGACTCTGGTAAAACAAGTTCCTCTTTCTTATACTACCATCTTGAAGCAGTACACCTCTCCTAAGGTAAGGAGTTGCTGGAGTGCCAACAAAAGAAACCTCAAAAGAGAGTAAGCTCTCTTTCTAAGAGTAATGGATAAATTCGGATTCTCATATATTTTAAAAATATATAAATGAGAAAATAGAAGCATACACATAAACTCTTATTAAAAATGCTTTGTACATCACACTAACATTTCCTAGGAGCAATGGTTATTCTTTGCTGGAGAGGTGAAACAGAGATCGTACCTGGGCAATGAAGACATTGGCCATCCACTCCATCTGAGTTTGTAGACTATCACAACAAATGTGCCTGTAAAACAAGGTTTATAAAATACATAATTCAAAAAGACAGCAGACTGTTCTCTGGTGTATTTTTTGGTTATTAAGTGATCAGAAACCTCTTTGGATTTTTCCTGATTCATGACTTAATGCAATCAAAATGGGAGTATTTCAGTATAAGTTGCTTCAGGCTTCTGTTAAATGTACATTAAAATAATAGTAAAATATGCTAGTTTAAACAAAATACAGCTACAGGCTTTAGTAACTGCTGACAAGCGGTCAGCAATATTTTTGGAAAGGCAGAAAGGTCAACGTATTTACTTTTTCAGGTACATGATGTTAAACATCTTTTTCCCCAGAAATTCTGAGCCTAAGAAGAAAAATATGTGCACATTTTCTTAAGAGCAGACATTTAAAAAAGGCTTAGTCTCCATCATAAGGATTATAAACATTAATACCCACAAAACTCATGAAGAACTAAATGAAAAACTACTACCGCATGTCCAATAACACTGATTCAGTAACCTTTTATTGAAAACCTATGTAAAACAGAGATCTTGCCCTCAAGGTTCACATAGTCTATGAGAGGAGCTAGGCATGTAAACCAATAAATTAGAACACAGTGAGAGAAAAAGAAAGTCAAGTTGAACACAAATATAGAAAGAGCACACTTGGGGATGCAGTAAAAGATTCTTACAAAAGGAAAATTCAGTAAGTGATGTTAAAATGACACGGACATTTCAAGGTAATTATGTATTTTTATTCCTGTATGAAAAATAATTTGTAAAAATGTTAAAATGAAATTTGTAAAAAATTCTTTCATTAGATTCTCACAAAGACATTGTCCCTTTCCACTACCATGTCCAAAAAAACCTGCCCTCTCTATAATTAAGCACCCATGTGTGCAAAACACTACAGAAACAGAAGTAAGTAAGTAATGATTAGAGGTAAGAGTTATCTGATAAGACTTTTGGGGCATGTGAGCTATAGTTTGAAAGAAGAATGACCGTTGAGTCCAGCACATCAGCAGTGTAGGAGAAGGCTCAGTAGAGCGACTACATACATTCAACATGGAAAGATGAAGGAGCAAGGAGCAAGGAATGTATGGTGAATTAAAGACAGATTACTGTTTTACCCTTAAGTAAAAAAAAAAAAAAAAAGGAAAGCCATGGGAAATAAAGCTGATGGAGCCTCATATTAAAGGGCCTTGTGCGCTGTGCCAACAATCCTCCACTTTATTCTGCAGTAGAGCATTAACTCAGGAAAGAAACACAATGCATTTTAGGAAGCCCCTTTGGTGGCTGGATAGAGAATATTCTAGAAAACAAAAGTAAAATCAGAGGCATAAAGAGCACTTAGGATAACTGGAATAATCCACACAGATGAAGGCACAGCCTGATCAGAGAGACAATTAAGAGGCGGATCCCGTGTGGTTTAGTGGTTGGTTAGACACAGCTAGGGTGGGAGAAGGAGACATATAGTACAATCTCTAGGGAGACTGGCTAGATCCGGTGACATCAATGGAAAAAAGTACATATTTGCAAAGAAAAGGTTTGAGGCCAAGCTTTTTTTTTTTTATACTAAGTTTTGGCTAGTTGTTATCCTTTATATAAAACTGGATTCTGCCTGCTTATCCCATAAAAGCTGGGGAGTTCCACACTCACATATTAACTAGGGAGAAATCAGACGTAGTTTCTCTCAGGAGGGCACTAGCAAGTAGGACACCTGGGATTGAAATGGACCTAAACCTTGAAGCAAATCTATTTTCTTCTTCTCAAAGTATTAAAAAAAAAAAATTCACTTTGGGGAAACATTTCCTGTCTGTAGATCTATCTGCCAATAATATTATTTGTTTACTGAAGTTATCAATATATCAAATCAAAAACTGTCAGCTGTTAACTTACCAGTGATGTTTTTCAGAATACGCTGTCAATCCCCAACTAAATCAGATGGGAAAAAACACACACACATACATATTAAAAAAATTGTACAAAACTGCGAACAGGATTAGATATTAAGGAGATACTCAACGGTGGCAATGTATAACAGAACAGACAGAAGTGATGATTCAATGGGTATGACTGATTTCGAGCTGAATGATAAGTGAGGGGTTTGGCTACAAATTTAAATATGCTCAAGGGTGACGGAGGGAAGGGGTCTTATGACGTCATGGGAAAGTGAGGGAAATCTCTCAGAAGACACCCTTGGCTGAGCAAGGATAGATATCTAGGAAAATGGCCAAAACAAGATATATACCTTCTCCTACTGATATCGTGGGAAATTAAAGAACGTGTCAACAACACAGGTGTATGCGCTGGGTTTATACATTAAGCATGTAGGCAAAAATGAGAAAAATTTTCAGTAACAGAAACCCAAAGTAAGCATCTAACAGTTCATGAAAATGTTTCATAAGTATTTGTGAAAACATTAATTAGCTAATCAAATTACGTTGTGACTAGAAAGTATGGCATAAAGCACAGGCTGGCATGATTCAAGGGTTGAAGAGAAGGACAATGTATAAGAGGGTCCACTTCCTCTCCACCATCTGGGTGCTGTGGGTTTACTACCAAATTTGGCAAAACTAGGGCAAATTACACAGCCAGGCATCAAGAGGCTGTTTTCCTGTGTGCAGAATTGTCTGGAACATTCCTTATGCCCCCAGGTTGTGCAACTGATCAAGGAATGGAGTGCAGAGAAAAACCCAGGTGTTTTTCAGTAGAAAGGGCCTTCTGGGGATTTCTTGCTTTATGCAGCAGAGATGCCATCACCAAGGAATAGGACTTCAGTGGGAACATCATGCTTTTTTATCTGCCCACAGAAGTTCCCTCGATCTGCAACAGGTCCCCTGCCATGTCTGTGGCAGCTCAGAGATTTTGTCTATAGCTTAATTTATAAAAAGCCTGATTAATGCCTCTGACCTCCAAATCCTTAGATACATATTCCTACAACTTCCACTTTTCAAAAACCCTTCCCTTTCAAACTTTACCTTGTTGGAGGCTTCATTTTCTTTTTCACTCCAAGATAAAACTTCATTGAACCAAGAGCAAACATTTTGTCATATTTACTACTCTGTAAGGAAAACAAAATCATTTGTAATTAAATAGACTTTATAAATATCTTTCTATTTTCCTTTAGTATTAATGACTGGGTTTAGAATTATTTAGTTCTCTAATGTTTTAGGGATATTATACTAAGTTTTTAGTACATGAAGACTGTTCTGATTACAAGGTTATAAATTTAAACAGACAATTTTGGATACACATGTATGCTTATATATGTGTATACATATATACACAGACACAATTTTTTATTCAAGACACCTGGGACCAGATATAAATCAGAACTGATAATTTTTCAATTTTTTCACATTTTAAAAATAGAATTATGTACAATATTATGTAATTCCATCAATGTTGTCTGGGGCAGCACCCTGCATTCATATAACTAAGACAACTACCTTCATGTTAGGTTTTGTTGCCAAATGCATTATGATTTTCTGTACTTTTTGGATTTCAGATGATGAAAACAATGGTATATATTGAACTATCTCAAGTATCCATATTAATATTTTTCACAAATATTTAATGAAAGTAGACTATTAAAAATTTACATCTACTCTGGATCAATGATCTATTCTCCATACACATCCTGACATATTTATCTGTAACTAATATTTTTTAAAAATCCTGGAACATAGGCCATGAGGCAAAACTTGAATCATTATACTTTAATTTCAAAACTTGTATCAAACCACACACACTTTATTATACATCCTTGGATAACCTGAAATAATTTTATAAAGATAACAGCCTTGGAAATTATTATTAACACACACTTTCCCCATACCCTAAGAATTCTGAAGGAAATCTTTTGTTTCAAAGTGTTAGGCATATAGCATTTGTAACTAAGAGCAAGGGGTTTGGGATCATAGAAACCTGGGAGCAAATCTGGCTTGCTACTTAAGTTTGTGACCTCACGTTACTTTTCTCTGCTCTTCTTGTTTGTGAGTAAAGAGGGATAATAAAAATATTGAGTATCTCATAGGGTTATTATTAAGATTAAGTGAGTAAGGGGGTGTCTGGGCAGCTCAGTCAGTTAAGTGGCTCCCTCCGGCTCAGGTCATGATCTCAGGGTACTCGGATCAAGCCCCATGTCCACATCTAGCTCCTTGCTCAGCAGGGAGTCTGCTTGTCACTCTGCCCCTCCCCTTGCTCATACTCTCTCTCTCTCAAATAAATAAATAAAATCTTAAAAAAGAAGATGGAGTAAGTAAAGGGGTACTCTGAAGGATTATTCTACAGACTAAATGAGAAAAATGTCTATAAAGCATTTAATCTAGTAATCAGCATAAGTGTGCAGTAAATTACAGCTGTTGTTATTAGGAACTTAGAACACATCGCTTCAGAGACACAGTAATACACACAAGTTAGAATCCTAGGACAGTATGGAAAAGCCCAATATTGGCTGAAATTTAGTACTAAGTACGAAGTACAATTAGCTGAAATTAGAACTAAGTCCTATAAAAGTTAAACTATTACTATGAAGTCTTTTCGCCATGAAAGCAGTTGAATTTGAAAAGTAAAGGATAGAAAATATGTTTATAAAATTAAAAACTGCCTTTCATAGAGAAGACAGGTTAAGAGAATATAGAGGAAATATAAAGGCAAAAGCAAGCAAGATGATCAGGAATAATGCTTGGGTGACCAGTGCTCTATTGCATTGATGAGGCCTGGTATGAACATGGCGAACTTACTCCTAGTCACTATAACAAATGTTTGCTATTATCATCATGGCAGATCATTTAAAATAGTTATTTTGGATATTTTTTGTCTTATGGCTAGACTTCTAGAAGTGGAATCACTAGGAACTTTTTTTTTTTTTTTTAAGAATAAGATTTTGGGGGCACCAGGGTGGCTCAGTTGGTTGAGCATAAACTCTTGATTTTGGCTCAGGTTGTGATCTCAGGGTCATGGGATGGAGCCCTGCATTAGGCTCCATGCTCAGCACAGTGTCTGCTTGTCCCTCTCCCTCTGCTCCCCCACCTCCCGCTCACACTCTTGTTCTCTCTCTCAAATAAATAAATACATAACATCTTTAAAAAAAAAATAAGATTTTGGCCAAATTGATAGTGTACATTTACTTACAATTAAACATACACTCGTATATTCATTAGCAATTTTCACTTTTGATTTGGTCCACAATTTATCTGTCTTTACTTGTTTGAATTAGTTTTGTATATATGAAATAAGAAATTGTCTTGTCTTTTTAAATGAAATATTCTACACAAACTGCTGTTTGCCTTAATTTTGCTGTTTACTTTTATTATTTTTAGGAAGTCATATTGATCTTTTCTTTTGGACTTTCTTAACTATCTCTTCAACTTTAAAGGGTTCTCACATAGCTGACAAATACTGAATTGCATGGCCATGGAATTTGAAGGGTTGCTATTTTTAAAGTTTTACTTCTTTTGTCAATCTGGAATATATATTTCATACACAGTATAGATGAGAATTTAAATTGAAAAATTTTAAGAATTATCCCAGCCCTATTTATTAAACAAAGCTTTCTTTAGACATCCATTTATGGAGGCATATTTATCAAAAACAAATCTTAATATACATGTAGGTCTTTTACCTGACTTTATGGTACCACTGCTATCTCTGTTCATTTTTATTCCAGGATCATATTTATCTCAGCTATTTCAGCTTTACTGTATAACCATGATCATTGGATGGAAAATACTACACTACTACACAATTATTTTGTTTCTTATACACCAAAATGTTTGCAAGTATTCTTATCTGTTTACACTTTGAGGTGATTGTCAAATCATTTCTGCCAGATTCTAAAAATAATTCCTTTGGGATTTTGAAAAGAATTACATTAAACCTACCGATAAATATTAGTAGACTTTACATAAATTTTAATTCTACCAGTGAAGTTCTGTAGTTTCCCTCATAACGCCTGTACTTCTTGCTAAGATCATCTTCTGGTAGTTTATGTGTTTTGTCTTTTTATTCTGACTGAGGACTGGTTTTGGGGTCCTGATTTTGTAGCGTGCTACTTTACTGAATGTTAAGGAGCAGCACTGAAGTCTAATAATTAAAGAACAGTGAGGTAGCTTTGTAAGGCAGTGAGTATTCCATGTAGGGAAGAGTCAAAGCAAGGAGAATTTAGGAACGTATCCAGTAGTGGAGCCTCCCGGCCACACCTGTCAGAGATTATATCAGACCGCAGCTGAGGGGGATGGCCCTCCTAGCTGAGACCGTGAGTCCCGAGGGAGGCGGCCAGGTAAGGTGAGAGGCAGTATGACGGGATCTGCACAGTTCAGAATGAGAGCAGTAGTGCTGAAGCAGGTAGTCTTCATTTATAACAGGACATCAATAATGCCAGCACTGCCTACATTTTGACATACTTTTGGCAATAGAGTCTGAAATCATACAAGAGATTCTCCTGACATGCAGGCTCATTACTTTATACCATATATCCTGTCCAAAAAGAACACTAATGACAGAATTTGAGAGGAAATCAGCAGCGGTGGAAAGAACGCTTTTTAAGTTTCTGTCTTTAAACTGAATATGCATAAAGTGGAACTGTAAGGATACTAACAGAAAGTTCTATAAAAAGAAATCTCATTTGGCAAGATAACTTTACTGTTGGTTTATTACAGTTCTCTCTTTTGGTATGTGTATTTTCTGGAGAATTTCTTCAAGAAGCTCAATATACTAGACTGTTAGGAAGTCTCTAATGTGTTACTTCAGGCACTATAATTCAAAATAAAGTTTTTAACTAAGCCAATTAAATGAGTGTGCTTAAAAAATTATTCTTGCTCCTAAAAGGAATCTGCTTATTAGCGCATGCAACTTTTAATAACCCCTCCCTTACCCACTTGCTTTTTTCACATCATTAACAGTATAATGGTAATGTTCTTTGAAACGCCTTACCTTTTATGTAAATCAAGTCTGAAAACATTTTAATTAACATTTTCTGTACAGGGAAAACTCAAAACAAAATATATCTTCCCCTGTGTATTACCCTAATTTGTTGTTAATGAGCATTCATAAATTATCTCTAATTAACACATAGTCTTTTTAAATATACTTTTCAATTTGTAATTTCCACTTCCTTCTCAGTAAATCATTTTCTAAGTATATTCAAGCACACATATATTAATGGCAACTGTCAAAACCAGAGCCAAATGTTTATTCAAATAAGTTAGGAGGTTTTCGCTATTGCTTATTTACTGTAAAATAATTGGAAATGTTAACATTGCCAATGACTCGACCATCAATATTAAAAGGGACAGAGCAGCAACATGAAAAAATAACCGGCCACATAAAATCATGTGTTGAAAAAAAATGATAGTTTAAGGAAAACCATAAGCCAAGTCTCCTCTGCTTGCCTGAATGTGCTCATTAAAGTATCAATTGCATTAATTTATTCTGACAGATGTACAAATACAACTTTTAAGCACAATAATCATAATTCCATAACCTGGGGTCACTGTTATGAAAACAAAATGTGTTCAATGTCCTTAAAATGCACTGTCTTTCTGACAAATAGTGTATCTCACACTTACATATGGAATTTAAAAAAGTTGAAATCATAGCAGAAAGTATAATGGTTGTTGTCAGGAGTTGGGGGTGGGGAAATGGAGAGATATTGGTCAAAGGGTATAAATTTTCAGTTATGTAAAATGTCCTGGAGATCTACGGTATAGCATGATGACTACAGTTAATACTATACCTCATACTTGAAATTTGCTGAGAGTACATCTTAAATGTTCTCACCACACACACACACACACACACACACACACACACACACACACCCGCAAAGCCAACAGATAACTATGTGAGGTAATGGGTATGTTAATTAGCTTGACTGAAGTAATCGTTTCACAATGTGCAGTGTATCAAAACATCATCTTGTACAGCGTAAATATATACAATTTTTTTGTCAACTATACCTCAGTAAAGCTGGGAAAAAGAAGTATTTCAAATGTCAAAAAACAAAAAACCACTCTTTAAGACAAACTCGATACTGTCACTTTATGAATTGTCTTAGACTGAGTAGGTTCAACCTTTCAAAAAGATGTAAATTCTTAAAACATATTCTGTTAAAGGGTATGAGATTCTTTCTCTCATAAAAATCAATCCATCTGAAAAAAAAATCACTTGTCCATGAACAAGCTTCCTGCGGCAGATTTTTAAATTTACATCAGCTTGGGGGAAAACACTTAAAAAAACGAATTGTATGGATTGTCATATCTGGGAATCTTTGGTACTGCTTAAATGAAAAAGACTTATCCACCAAGTTAAAATAATGCAAAATTATTATTTGTTTAGTAAGTCCCTGCATGGAGCCTTTGGAATCTGACACTTGGGAATGAATACTCTGCTGCTCACTGGCTATGGGATCTTGGGCAAGTTATGTAATATCTTGGTAAGTGTAGTTTCTTCATCTGTAAAGTGGGAATAATTATAGCACTAATTTCGTAGGGTTATTATAAAGGTAAAATGAGATAATCCAAGTGAAATGTATAGAACTCTACTTTTTATAGAACAACCTTCTGTTGCTACACAATAGAAGTGTTGGTTCCTTGGGGCGCCTGGGTGGCTCAGTTGTTGGGCATCTGCCTTTGGCTCAATCATGATCCCAGGGTCCTGGGATAGAGCCCTGCATCGGGCTCCCTGCTCAGCGGGAAGCCTGCTTCTCCCTCTCCCACTCCCCCTGCTTGTGTTCCTGCTGTCGCTATCTCTCTCTCTCTGTCAAATAAATAAATAAAGTAAAATCTTAAATAAATAAATAAATAAATAAATAAAAGAAGTGTTCGTTCCTCAGTGGGACCAAAAAGTTCAGGTTCATTTTTAAATACCTCAAGCAGATACCCAACTACAAAAGTGACCCTTAACCAACACATTATGTATATATATATAGAAGGGCAAGGATTAAGGAAGTCAGTCTAATGAAAGTCAAAGTGGGTGACCCATCGAAGAAAACCAAAGAAAATTCAATAAGATCCAGTTCTAGATAGCTAGAATAATCAGCTGTGAAGTCCTGACTTTACTTTCATGAACACAAATCTGTTAAGTTCATGAACCTTAAAATCTGATGTGTTCAGTTCACACAACCCCAAATTCTTCTGTGCCTCACTTCTGCAAACTCCACTCTTCGTCTACTAGAAAAACTGAAGAATGATAATAAATAATAACCATCTGATACCCATAAAGACTCCCTGCTGGGTCTATGCGATGGAATAATAAGGTGGAAGTTCGAGTACAGTATTTAATATAGCTCTCTGAATAGATGAGGGCTGCAGGATTCAGTGCTGTTTTGTTAGCCCCCCTGCCTGGATAGTCCACTGTCCTAATCAAAGGAAGAATGCTACTCAGATTTATTTATGCCCACATGGAGGCCTCTCTGCTGGAGGAACATACAGGGAAAGTGGTCAAAGCATGTGGGGAGCTCAACAGAAGCCATAAAAAAATGAGACCACAGAGCTTTGGAAAGCTGCCTATGAATCCTTTCTTCACAACATATTCACAGATGCTACTAGTCTGGTCTGTGTTTATACATCTCCACAACAGACCACAGCAAAGCACCACACACTTAAAGTATGCAAGCAATGTTTACCCAAATGAATTTTATAATTCAATATAAAAAAGTGCTGTCATTCTATATTTAAATTATTGTGTAGGTGTTATTTGAACCTCAAGGAAGTAGAGATGTTACTGCATACACTTGTAATCACCGCCCAAAACTGGATAGAGAACATTTATTTCTCTCATTCTAGAAATAAACTTTTGCCTCAGGGCATAACATTTTTTTTTAATTTAAATTCAATTAGCCAACATATAGTACATCATTAGTTTCAGATGTAGAGTTCAGTAATTCATCAATTGCACATAACACCCAGTGCTCATCACGTGCCCTCCTTAATGCCCATCACCCAGTTACCCCATCCCCCCACCCATCTCCCCTTCTGCAACCCTGTTTGTTTCCTATAGTTAAGAGCCTCTCATGGTTTGTCTCCTTCTCTGATTTCTTCCCAGTTTTCCCTCCCTTCCCCTATGATCTTCTGTACAGTTTCTTATATTCCACATATGAGTGAAACCATATAATTGGCTTTCTCTGATTGACTTATTTCACTCAGCGTAATACCCTCCAGTTACAACCACATAATTGGTAAGATTTCATCCTTTTTGATGGCTCTTAATTTTATTGATGAAGATGCTGATTTATATGCTAGCTTATGTAACACATATTAGACTTTTCTTTAAGGACTTCTCTGCACTAAAAAATGAGAAGTGCTCAGAAAGGCTATATGCAGGGTGCCTGGGTGGCTCAGTCAGTTAAGTGTCTGCCTTCAGCTCGGGTCATGATCCCAGGGTCCTGGGATGGAGCCCCACATTGGGCTCTACTGCTCAGGGGTGAGTCTGCCTCTCATTCTCCCTCTGTGCTTCTCCCATCTCAAATAAATAAATAAAATCTTAAAAAAAAAAAAAAGGCTATATGAAGTTTTTCACTGTGTTACTTAGTATATTAATGTTATATCCACAGGCTGCAAGAAATCATCAGCTGACTGTGTGTTCTGTTTACTACGGGGCTTGACTGTCAAGAGAGGACTGACAGAGGTATGAAATGAGAATGTTAATACCTACATAAACATGCATACATATTCAAAAACTAAATATACAACTACCTTTGAATCCTTGTAGAGAAAGAGATACCCATCTCGTAAAACAAAATACCGGTCTTGAAACTTATTTCCAGACAGTATTTTAGATGGTTCTTCTTTAATTTTCAAGACTCCTTCTTTGATACTTTCCAGGGCTCTCCTCTCTGTAAGGTACAACATTGCTTTTGTAAGTTAAGTACATTTTCATTTATTTGGAATATGATATAAAACATTTCTATATTTTGTTTTGATAATATAAAATAGTGACTTGTTTCTTACCAGTAAGAAGCCTATGGTTAATTACTGGGAGCACCATGTGTCAGGGTATTCCTATCTACTTATAGGCCTGCCTATGCTACTGGCTAATGAGCACTTGAAATGTGGTTAATCTCAACTGAGACATGCTATTAGTATGAAATATATGCCATATTTCAGAGACCTAGTACCAAAAAAAGGTAAAAATATCATAAGTTTGTAATACTGATTATATGCTCAAATTATAATATTTTAAATGAGTTTAAATAAACTATATTAGTAAAATTAATTTTACCTGTTTTGTATCTTTTAACGTGGCTACTAGATAATTTAAACTTACTTAATTGGTTTTATTATACTTCTTTTGAACAGCTCTCGAAAAAACAGTGCAAATACAGAGGCAAAAATGGAAGCCTCTCCCAGAATTCTGATTCAGGAATCCAGGAATTCTTAGGGCACTAAAGAAAATCCTATACATCTGAACCAGGTGAGGGTAAAAAAGGCAAAACTGCTAAGGTAGAGCATTTATCAACAACTACATTTCATGTACAATACTGCCATGTCCCACACTTAGAAACACGCAACCAATTCTATAAAAATACTTTTTGGTAAGAACACCAAATCTGTACTTGTATAAATTGATCAATACAACTCTAGTCTAAAGCTTCCTCCTCGAAATCTAGATGATATTCAACTGCTTACTTGAGAACTGAAGAACAGGGGTGGGGGTGGGGGGCGGAACCTTAAGTCAAACAGCTATGACACAGTCACTATGGTGTCAATGTCTGTTCTTTCTGGAAAATAAGAGTAATAATACCTATCCTGCAGATTATTGTGGGCCTCCTATTAGAGAATGACCACAAAAAGATGTAGGGTGGGATACTGTATCTGACCAGGACCTTTAGCAATTTTCCACTGTCAGGTGATACAATTTTTAAATATTCATGCACTGTTTCTGAAATTTACAGAGTAACTTGAGTGGTTTTAGAAAGAACTCTTAGTCTTAAATCTAACATTTCCTTGGTTTGAGGAAAACCTGTATTTCTATGACAAATAATACACAGAGGTTCACAATTATAATCAGCATAAGAAAACTAAAGTTTAAAAAACAGAAGGAGTTCCTTGTAATCATACTCAACTATGAGCATGGCATGAATATCTGGAAGCAAAAATTCGCAAGAATAAGCATATCCCTGATGCTAAGCACAGATGTACAAACAAATGTAATTAACAAACCCCAATAGTTTTCATAATACATATACTAGCCACAGACACATTCTTTTAATCAATGGGGAGTCTGCCTCTCATTCTGTCATACTGTCATACTAAATTGCTTCTTTATTGGTAGATGCGACTTTAATTTCTGAAGAACTGCTAAAATTTGTCTTCTCAATTATTCAATATTCAATTCCACAGAAAAGTATTTCAAATGATATTTTACAGCTAAATAACTTCTATTAAAATTAAAAATAACTTTTCAAATAAAAAGAAGATGTATTTTAATACGACTGGAAGGTCAAGAAAAAAATAAACGTAAAACTATTCAGTGAAATTCATATTACATCAAATCATTCATTTCTTCATAAAGTATTGAGGGTCTGGTATGCACCTGGTTCTAGTAATATACAATCTTGGAGACAAGTTCAATGTGGGCTGACAAGCGAAGCTCTATCTGCTGACAGAAGTGAACAATTCAAAAAAACAGTAGGCTTAGTGATTCAGTTGATGTAGAACAGGGAGTGGAGAAAGGCATTTATAACACTGCTGGTTTAGAAACAGGTAAATCATTTTTTAAAAGTTTAAATTATAACCAAGTTGTGAGATATAGATACTATATATTGCTTAAGCCAAACAAATTCCATTCACACCTTCTAATTATACTTTTTCACTTAGATTTTTGTCCAAATTAATAAACCTTTCAAATTTTACCAATAACCATATGTCCAATGCCTAAGTAAACCATTTGTAGGTCAAGGAGAAAATAGGCTTAGGGGAAAAAATATTGTTGCCGTGTTTGGTTCATACTTGTGTAATTGAGAATATTAGCTAAATCTTGCACCATACATTATGAAAGGACTCAGGAGGAAGGCTTCGAGAGAAATATATGTGAAGGAAGAGGGAAGAATGAAAAGAACTTTGAAATATGAAGTTCTATAACTATCAAGGACATTAAAGACTTTTTAAAAGCTCTCACAACTAAATTTCTGCCTGATCTCAAAAATGTTAAAACATGTAGAAAAATTACCCACTACTTAAAGGACAAAATGAAGCTACATACTTTGGGGTACGTCATGTGTGACTCAGCGTGTAACAGAATCAGTTGTGAATTAAATGGCTTTCAATAATTCACTTTTCCAAACTTTTCCAGGACTGCTTGGTCCCTCAACTGTGGGGTACTTCACTCTTCTATTTTCAATCCCTCCCCTTCACCCCAGGCAGAAAGCTTACTAAGGTCCTCTGCTCTACAGGAATCTGGTTCAGTAAAAGTTCATGCCAGATGTGTCCACTGTACCTGCTGTCCAGTCCCTGTCCAGGTTTGAATTCAACTCTAGCTTGTCAGAATATAAGCTTTTTGCCCTGTACGTCTCTTCTGAGCTGCAGTTCAAATTTCTGCTTCCTAACTCTTGAGATTCTGGCCAGAACTCCTGTCTCCCTGCTATGCTTTGGGCTTCTCAATTCCATGAGGTCTTGCTCTCTTCATAGTCCTTCCCAACACAGCGATCTTTCTAGATTTTTTTTTTTTTTTTAAGGACCCAAACTTCAGAGCACTAGTATTTCAAATGCCATATAAGCAGTCCTCCTGGCTACACCCTTTGCTATGGTCATTCAGCATACACCAAATCCCTCTGATCCAATCAAAAAGAATGATTTCACATGTCATAGGGGCCATGACATCAATCCTCAGCATGGTGTAAGTTAGTAACCATGGAATACTTTATGTACTAAGAATGTAAAAAAGAAAACATAGGACACACCCTGTAAATTTGCTTTTAATTGAAAAAGAAACCCGCTATAGCATATGATTAATGTACTAAAAGAAGCCGTTAAGTAACTTGGGAAAATAACCTAATTTTTTCCCAAATATAACAAATCTGAAGATTTAATGCACTCCCCAAAGCGCTTAATTCCTTCAGAGAAAGATTCTGGGATGTACCCTAATGGGTATAATTTCCTTTACTATCTTTTTCTTTCATTCCAATAAAATTCCAGCATACTGTTGTCTCTAGAAAATCATAAATCCCTCTCCCCTTCTTGTTGATTGCTAGGACAAGGCACGCACAACTGGAGTTAAAGCATCTTTTGAATTAACAGTGGAGACAAGAAAAAAAAAATAGTATTCTTAGTTGTGCTGTAATTTTGTTATTAATTAGAAAAGCCCTTAAAACTCACATGCATGAAGCAAAACACAATGGCCAAATTTATTTAAACAGAACAGACTATCATATTACTAGGGCAATGAAAACAACAGAAAGAAGTTTTTCAAAATCATCTGAAAACCTCAAGTTCTTATACAAAAAGAACAATTCCTAACTAGTGGTCCCTAATCCCAATAAAAGAACTGATCTGTAGAGGAGGTGAGAGGGTTCTGGGAAAGAGAGGCAGTGACAGAGAGAGGGGGAGGGAGAAACATAAATCCAGGAATGGTACTTCTAAAATATAAACTCCTCCTTTATCCTCCATGGCAGACAGCTGGCTAGTCAGCCATTGTTCGTTGAGAATTTCTCTCTGGGGCTCAATTCCACTTCATTCCCAATGTTATCTTCTAACCCTTGCCTTTTCTACCCACTACCTGGGGATTCCAGGATTCTATAACTCCATGCACTCTTTTCTAACGGGTCCAGCAAATGATTCTAGATTGGTGTTACAGAAATGCTGTTCTAACATGTTAATCCCCTCCCCCAACTCCCTTCAAAGCCTTACTTTCCTACTATTAAAAGTCTAAACTCCTTTTCCTGGCATTTAAAGGCTAAATAAACTGAATTTCTCCTACCCCTCTCTATAAAATATTAAATTAAAATATATTCATAATTCAGTTGATCATAATATACTGTTTGGAAAACCAGTCCTCATCTCCATGGCATGACTTAAGTTGATCACCTTAATAAACTTGAGAGAAACTCCATTCTGCTTGCTTCTACACAAATTCTAACCCCTTCTGTGCCCAACTTATCAATAGAGATTTTTCTAACTATTCTAGTCCATACTTGTTATTTATGTCTTTAAACTTTAAGATATAGTTTAGCTCCTGAATGCATAAACCGTATTTGCTTAATAATTTAGCTCTTAAGTATATGATAATTTCATATTAGCTTTTTAAAACAATGTCTGCTTTGGATTTTCCTCCCCAACCTATGTGAGAGCTGACAGAGCACAGTGACTGACAGCACACTTTGGAACTGGGTTTTAATGACAACCGCACCCTACACTCAATCTCAGGCAATAATCTCTGAATCTCAGTTTCTTCAACTGCGAAATGGGGACACCTACAGTACCCCATAGATTTGGTGTGTAAAGTGCTTAGAACAGTGTTTGGTACAGACGAAGTAGTATGTAACTGCTTGTTTAATTAACAGATGACACACATCATTTTTCTCTATACCACAAAGTCTGCAGTAAGCAAAAACAGAAAGAACTATACTTCCAAAGTCCTGATGATTTATAGATGGAATTCTTAAGAGTTTATAAAACTAAAATCTGATTTATCCCTGATTTCAGTACAGTAGGTCGGTTAGGACAGAATATATGGACTGGATTTGGAGACATCTTGATTCAAATGCCTGCTCCGTCACTTATAAGCAGGTCACCTTGGGGGAGTTATGTAATGTCTCCATATCCTAACTTCTCCATCTGTAGAAGGCCTAGTTAAGTACTAGTAGACTAACTATGAAGAATAAATGAGATGGTGAAT